TGGAACCAAAAATTATTATTTTTATTAAAAGATTAACGCTGTTGAAAAAAATTTACTTCAAAAAAATTAGATTTTTGAGAAATTATAAATTTGACAAAAATTTGTCTTTATTTTGACATATTTTGGAAATTCTGAACTTTTTTTCAAAGCAATTGTACTGCTTTAACTGCATAGAGACGAAATATCGAAGCGTGTACGCGCCGCTCCGCCGTCCAACGAATAAACATTGGTACGGAACCCATAGGAATGTAAACAAAATTTACTGTTAAAACTTATTGTTAAAATCTCTATAAAATATCTGATAATTTAATGTGCATATGTCTAATGATCATTTTTGACCGCCAGATGGCACTTTTCTAATTTTTTTTTACTAGATCTCCGAAACCGCAAGACCTGCCTTCATGAAAATTTAATCAGTTCTTCATCTTGTAAATACAAGTAAAATTTGTTTTAAATTATTAAAATCGGACGCTCCGTTCTCTTAAAAATCGAGTTACCAACCGAGGGCACTTTTTGCCCCGTATCTTCGGAACGGCTAGACCTGCCTTCGCCAAAAACTAATCAGCACGTCTCCTTATCAATAAGAATCGAATGTGTTTTGAATTATTCAAATCGGTTAATCGGTGTTCCCGAAATCGTCGATGAAACTTTGTATCCGCACACACACGCATATACATACACACACTTACACACACACACATATATTCATTTTTTCTAAGGTATGCCAAAATATTCAGAAAGCTTCAAAACGTCGAGAAATGCAAAAATTTTCATTTTCGATTTTTTGCGATTACTATAACTTTCCCTTTAACTTTAAAACTTTGACAATTCACTCAAGTGTATTAAATTTAAATAAAATTTAATTGAATGAAGTACGTTTTACTACTGGAATGAGATATGAGAGACATCGAAGTTATTTAGATTCTCATAACATATAGAAGAACGGGGCTTGAAGGTTCGCGGGAAAAAAAGACCACCACTGAAATCTCAAAAAACAGGTAAAGTTAGAATTTGTTTAATAACAATTTTTAAAAGTAGAGAAACAAAGATGTATGATCAACTATCGCTTTAAATAAAGCAACATTGCTATCAGAAAACAAACGGCCTCGTTGGAAATCAATAACAAAAGTTCTATTTTTCGTTGTTAGCTTTTTGGTTGTAAGCACTGTTGTTTAGTTTGCCTTGATATGATTTTTAAGTATGCCTTATTCAATTTTTTTTTTCAGTTAAATTCAACTGTATTATTTATAGAAGCTGTATAAACACGTTCATGTGGGTAGGGTAAAAAGAATAAATCAAACTTTTATCTTGGCAAAGGCGTAAATAATAAATAAATAGTAAATAAAAATGTGAGCTCAGTTGAAAAATGCTATATCACAAGAAATAAATTAAATAAATAGTTATTCCAACTCTGCTGATGTATATTTCTGACAAAATACCAGATCGAGTTCATACAAAGTTATCTTTGTAAAAATGTGCCGAGGAAATTTATATTTTGCATTGGTTGTGTATTGTGGCTGTTAATTCAAAAAATTCCTTCAAAATTAAAAATAAGACATTGGATCTGTTTGTCCTCTGGCTGTCTCATGTTACGCCGAATATTGGGTAAAATTGTGCATGACAAATTTTAAAAACATAGAAAAGAAACACTATATAATTAGGAATTAACTGGAAATTTCACTGAATGTAGTGCATTAGTTGTTTGTTTGGTACGTGATATATGTGTAATGTGTAGACAGTATAATTGCCTAAAGTCAAATTGGGCCTTTGTGCCTCTCCTTACTATTTAAAAAAATTTACTATTTAACTAATCTAACTAAAACGTATATTTGCTACCCTTTTTATTATTGTTATGAATTATATTTCAAAACATTCTAAACTAAATTAAATTATTTCAACTAAAAATCCGACAGATTCGTGAATATATAAACTGCATAATTTTTCAATTATTTAATTTCACGTTTCTATGTTTCATCAATTATGATAATTTTCAATTGTTTGCTTTATAATATTTTTTTTCGAATAATCAACTTTAATTACGATTGTTTCATTTTACAGATATAGAATCATATCAAACGTGTGTTTGTGTTTCATATATTTAATTCTTGTGTATTATAAATACCATATATACAGCAAATTATTACCAGCATGTTAAAATAATTACGATTCTATAAACGTGTTTGCTATGCAATGACCAATATTTGTAAACTGTTCGATATGTATTCTATTCATAAATAAAATCATAAACGACAGGCTAAACATATATATTTGCGCATTTGTGTAATTCACAAATCGATCGCGGAAATACGAGTAAATTGTATAAACAGATTAAATGCAACTGATAAATTTTATTATAAATCATGAAATCATTGATTGTAAAGTATTACTGCCGATAAAAATATTGCAGTTTGATTAATAGTTTTATATCAATAATTACTGATATATTGACAAAAATATTGCAGTTTGATTAATAGTTTTATATCAATAATTACTGATATGAATATATAAATATAGAACATATACGAATTAATAATATGTCAAAATTACCAGAGGAATACATATGGTATTTCAAATCTTTTAGTTAGTTTTAACTAGATGTAGCCCAAAACTTATGATACAATGGTGGAACTAACTATAACTATAAATTAACTATTTTTGAATTAAATGATTTGAGAAAATATTAAATTAGCGAAAATACATATAAGCTTTTAAAAAATTTAATTGACGGTATGGAATGTTCCAGCAATTTGCCTCAAGGCGTGATGCCATTCACCACTAGTCGATACAAATTAATTTATAGTAAAAGAAAAAATATTTTCTATACCTATAGTTTGAAAATAGTTTGAAAATGTGATTGTTTTAAATCTATATAAATTATCGGCGCCCGTATATGGCGATCGTGTGATATTTTCTTACCAAGAAATTTATGTTTCAAGCATATTATAAAAGGCAATAAAAATAATCTTTTGGGGAAATATATAACCAACTATGATTTATTTTGTAGTTTTGTATTTGTTTTCGTAGTTATTGAATTCAATAAGAAAACTATAGATGTAAGGTCAAGTTCCTAAAAATTATTGAACACTTGAAATAAAAATAAGCATAGAGAAAGAAAGAAACGCAATTTTTAAAACACGTTCTCATTTTTAAAACTGCTATTTTATTGTTAGTAATTGTTTCTTTATAATGAATTAAATATACCTTGGGTCTGTAAATATATCGTAATGTAGACAATTTAAAAAAATGTATAGACCTTTGACTCTTCTGGCACAATGTTCAATCACATATGTGAATATTTTTGGAACTATAGTAGATTCATATTATACATAAAAGTATTACAAAATTAAAAATATAGATTTTGTTTATAAAAGTGACATCTATCAAAATAATAATAATTTTAATTATTTTTAAATAGCCTCGTCATATTTGACTAATTTTGAATCAAATGATTCTAAACGATTTGAGAAAATATTATATTGATGAAAATAATTTGGATAAATGCACAAACTTTCTTTTGGAGTAGTTAATAGTGTGTTCATAAATTCCGAAAAATATAAATGATAAATAAATAAAAAAAAATTATAGAGGTTTATTAAAATACCAGAAGACGATATGAATATGAGAATGATATCGATATTATGGCAATTGTTTGGAACATGTCTACAAGCCAGGCTAATTATTCTACTATTAATATACCCACGATATAATTAATTAGGATGTTATTTGGATACAGAAGTTTGTAATGTTCCATATAACATTTTATCGAACCGAAAGAATCCATTGTACTGTAATTGCTTGTGTTTTTTTTAGTTTTAAACATTTTTTTAGTTTCAATTTCTAGCAAATCTACTACTAGTTTGCAGAGAATATATTGGTATTTACTGGTATACGTATCTTTGTAATTTCCATTAAGTTTCTTCCACTATTTGCATATAGATGCATTCGTAAGACCAATTGCCAATTACTTTTAGTAGATATTTGATCGTTTAATATATTTCAAGCTAAAAAGTTAATTATTGCTTAAACAGATAAACGTCGGAATTAACTATTCTAATTACGTAAGATTTCTTATTTAAACTGCTAACGATTTAGTAAATAAACTTCCAGCAGTTTGAATAGTTGCAATTCTGGACGAAGAATCTCACTTTGTGTTTTCAAGATATACGTAGGATAGAATCTGTATATTTGCAATAATTGCAAATAATTTTAGCCTAATTAAACTTTAGCAAAATTCTGATAGACATTGAAATAATTACTTATATTTTGCTTTTTCTTCGTTGATAAATTGTGTTATATAGTACACAAAATTAGTGAATAAATTTTATGCAATTAAAGAGCAAAAATTATATGTAAAATTCAGTAAATAATAAATGTAAATATTATACTATTAATATATTCTGAATTACTTATATCAATGATTTTATTCCTTTACGTTTTCTGCAGGAGTGTCGCTGCTATAAGGAACAGAATGTACCTTAGTAACGCACTAAACTGACCAGACAATGATATATTTTAAGATATTTATATAATTATCAAAATAAAAATGTGTTGAAAAATTGAAAATTACGCTTCTAATGAATTAGAAAATTACAGAAAAACTACTAGTACTAATAGTTTAATTCATGGTGATAAATCTTGACCGACCGACAAAGAACATGTCGTCGACAATGAACGACACCCGTATACACAGGTAGTAGAGTGGATATCGGACGACACAACAGCGAAGGAGTTTAAGGTGTTTTAATTAGTTGTACTTTGATAGAATTCTCATAACCGAATATAATTTCCATAAAAAGTAGAATTAACAAAATCAATTTATATTTCAATTAAAGTAATATTAATAATGTACGATTCTGCACTACTAATTGGCTGAACAATGCCAATTAAAAAAATATAAAGCATTTAATAAATTTATAAATTTATAAAAATGATAGTTTCTTTATAAATGATGTTCAGCCGATTAAAACCAAAATTCAAAACAAAATTTCATTATAACTCACCGCTGTCATGATTCCTACATTCTGCACAGACTAACTGTCGCCTTCTGGCTTGGGGTGCATTTTGATGTTGCTGCTGCTGCTGTTGCTGTTGCGCTGCAGCAGCAGCAGCTTGCGCCGCTGCTTGTCTACCTGCTGCTGCTGCGGTGGCTAGCATATGCTGCCGTTGCTCCTGCAACCGCTGAATAACCTGCAGTTGATGTAAGTGCTGTGCACCAAGCGCCCCGAGAGCGCTGACAGGTTGACCGTGCCCGTTGCCGCCCTGACCGCCATCCTTGTAGCCTTCAGGGGGGCTGAGTGCCGCCTGATCGACAAACTCGAGAGGTGGTGCGAACTTAGGACTCTGGAAAAAGAATAATATTTTATTAATTTACAGTTTTAAATCTACTTTCTACATTTTAATGAAGAGCTTGCTATCTTTTTATCAATTAAAGTCCGTAATTTATTTATTCTTAAAGAATAAAATTCATTGAAGACAAATTAAAAAATTCAATAAAACCCTTAGGCTACGCGCATGAATGTTTCTACCAAGACTACACGCGTCAGAATAACTTCAAACTTTTAACGAACAAGGTCTTATATGTGAGTTATTATTTACATCATTATTAAGATAATCTGAACATGTAAAAGTACAGTATTCAGAATTGTAAAAACTACGTATTAGGAGGCGGTATTACTTGTTCTTCATGATATATATGAAATAGACAAATAAGTAAGTGCGAATTTTTGTTAGAAAATCAGATACATTTTTTCATGCCACTAAATTACTTATTTAATTTCCCGTAGAAAATAAAATAGTAAATCGAAAATAAAATTTCGTATATATCTTTGTTTTAAAACATTCGATTCGTATTAATAAGGAGACGTACTGATTAGTTTTTGGCGAAGGCAAGTCTAGCGGTTCCGAAGATACGAAGCAAAACGTTCCAGAAACGGTACCTCAGTTTGTAAGAAAACGGAGCGTCCGACTTTAATAATTCAAAAAAGATTTTATTTGTATTGACGAGGTGAACACCTGATTAAATTTTTGGAAAGGCAGGTCTAGCGGTTTCAGAGATGTAGTAAAAAAAACTAAAAAAAAGCTATTTGGTGATCAAAAATAATCATTAGACATATGCACATCAAATTATCAGATATTTTATATAGATTTTAATAATGTGTATCAATTTTGTTTACATTTCTATGGGTTCCGTAATATTGTTTGTCCTTAGACGGCGACGCGGCGCATACGCGCTTCGATATCATTCGTCTCTATGCAGCTAAAGCAGTGCGATTGCTTTGGAAAAAAGTTCAAAATATCCAAAATATTTCAAAATAAAAAAAAAAACATTTTCTCCAAAAAAGACAATTTTTTTCAAAAATTTAAAATTTCTCAAAAATAATTTTTTTTCAAAGATTAAAAAAAATAATCTTTGATCGCTCACTTTTTGTCATCTTTTAAGCACTTTATAAAAGCTTTCATAAATCTTCTGGTTTTTATTTGCAAAGGACTGAATCAGATGCAATTTGACGCCATATAATAATCATTATAGATCTTTTTTAAATTCAAGTAACTTTGTAAAGATCAAAACTTAAAGTAATTAAGTGGTGTAAGCTCAGGACTATATGGTGGATTTTAGCTTAAATTGCCTTTTCACCCGAGCAGAAACTAAAAAGCAAAATTTTTGAAAAAATTTCGATTTTATTTTTCATCTCGCAACCAACGCCAAACAAAAGCTACACAGTCGATCAAAAAACCCCTTTTAACATCTGAATTGCCTACTGTCGAATAACAAAAGATACTTTATATTAGGACTATGTCAGTAAACCAAAAAATTTAATTAAAACCATCATTCACTTAGTTCCCAACCAGATATTTAGAGTAAGTAAAGCTAGACAGCTTTACTCTCAATACCAGTGGCGGATCCAGGGGGGGGGTCACGGGGGTCATGACCCCCCCCTGAGCCTGTTTTAGGACTTCGATAAAACAACAAAATTTTGTTATTCAACAACAAAATTACTTCATAATGTTTTTATTCATGTATTTTGTTACCAAACACATTTTATAACTTGATTGTTTAACTTATTATAGACGAATGGTAAGGTCCTAAAATTTAAGGATTTTCTAATCGTATTGCGAATATACGTTCTATACATAATTTTGAATCAAGTATTACAGTTTAGGAAAAAAAATCATATAAATATAAAAAAATTAAACTAATTGTGAGTGGTCCTTAACCATGAACTTTCCGTAATCTTAACGTCTGTAAATAGACGACCTAATCAATATATAAATAATTTGATTTAAACTGATTTAGAGATGTATACCTAATCGCTGTAAACCATTTTGAAGTGAGAAACTATTGCAAATATTATTTTTTTCAAATATAGTAGTTATTTTTGAAAAATGGATTAAATATTACACATTGATGGGAAACGAACACATACGAAATACGAATACATAAACACGGTGAATTTTCTAAAAGCGCGGCCAAATACTCCAAACTTTAATTATCATAAGTAAACCACTTATGGCAGGCCTTAATATTTCATTTAGAGCAGAAACTCTGACGCCATGCAAAGTTTCATTAAAATCGCCAAAAAAATTGACAATCCATTATGTAAAAGAAACGGTTTGACCGATCTTTGCCAAAAACCATTTAAATCCAAATAATATCAATCGAATAGTTTTTGTTTTTGCAAAAACGGTTAAGAATTTTTGACAAAAACATGGACGATAATTTTTGCACTTTTCTGCCAATAGTAAAGAAACGGACCAACCAATTGTCTCAAAAAACTAATCAACGCAAACACTTATCCAGTTTTATTTTATAGTTTTTAACTTTCCGAAGGAGAAGTTTATCTTTTCATAGAAAAATCCGACTCGCTAATTTTATGTTTTCTCGACGTTTCAAGCCATTCTGAATCGAATGAGACCAACATTTGGAAAACGTATGTGCGTGTGTGTGTGTATGTTAACAGATTTTTTGCCGTAAATCGACGTTTTCTCCAAAACCGATTTCAAAAATTTAAAAGCCGATCGATGTATCTCGATGAGGACTAGCGTTTTTGAGTTTTGCGGGACGAACGTCCGGGCCGTTTCTTTGTAAATTGCAGAAAAGTAAAAAAAAATTTTTGTCCACGTTTTAGCTCGCAATTCTGAATCGATTTTGAAAATTCAAAAACCAATCGGAAGATATTGGTTGGGAATCGTGCTGATTAGTTTTTGGTAGAGATTGGGCGGGCCGTTTTCTTGTATTAAAGTTAAAAAAAAATAAAGTTCGACGATTTTTATGATTTTTTTACCGGTAGATACCATAGTCTCGTAGATCATACTAAAATATTACGGCCCTGCGACAAGTCGTTTAATTTTAAAAATTCTTCAAAGCTTGCAAAAATTAGTACCGTTTTTTGGCATTCAACAAAATTAGACTTTTGATCGACGTTTTCTCAAAAATGCCTGAACCGATTTCAGAAATTTAAAAGCCATTTGATGTATCTCAATGAGGACTATCGTTTGTCAGTTTTGTGAGAAGATCAGACGAGCCGTAAATTCTTTGTAATTAGAAAAAAAAAATTAAACTTTTCATCCACATTTAAGCTCAAACTACCGAATCGATTTAAAAAAATCAAAAACTGTTTGAAAGATATTAGTTGGAAATCATACTGATTAGTTTTAGGTGAAAATCTACCGAGCCGTTTTCTTGTAATAAACTGTTGAAAAAAAATCTAAGCCGATTATCATGAAAATTTTTTTAGCGACATATTTCATGGTCTTACTGAACCTACTGAAATATTGCGGCCTTACGACAAGTAATTTAATTTTAAAAATTCATCAAAGTTTGAGAAAATGAGTATAGTTTTTTTGACGTTTGTTAAATCTAAAATTAGACGATTTTAGATAGAGTACTTGGTCTTAATGAACATACTAAACCATTAGAGTTCTGCGGAAACTGGTTTAATTATAAAAATAATTGATTTTTGAAAATTTGCTTCTAAAAAATACTCCGAGTTAACGTGTTCGTTTATTTGAATTATGTGTAATAAATTTACTCGGTATACTTTTGATCACTCATAAATTGATTCATTTTTTATTGATTAAGTCGCTTATTTACACATATCGGGAAATTCATGTAACTTGCCTCAAGGCAAAATACCAATACCAACTAGTTAAATTTTAACATAGGTTCAGACGAAAAAACGTAGAGAACAACGTCAAATTTTGACTCACGTCAAAGACGCAGATTATTTAAAAAAAATACACATGTGTAGGGTAAGGAGGGTTCAATTTAACTTTCACTTGTAAAAACTAAACGAAAAACATAACAACAAATAAGACATATCAAACAAAAAACTATCTGACTATGTTTAGTACAACTTCCAGCTAATTCACTGTAGAAATGTGTTTTTTTGCTGTTTTTCAAAAATTTTGTCACTTGGTCTTTTTGACTTCATAGGCGGGGTAAAATCGGACGGTGAGAGGATAAACAATTTAACGATTTAACGAAATATTAGCTACATTATTCAACCAATTCAAAATATAAATTTTATGGATGCATTTTTTAAAGATATAACTCTGTATATAATCTTGATTTGATATTTTGTCCAAGAGTTGGAATAATTATTTATTTAATTTACCTCTTGTAAAAATGCTTTTTTAAACGTCGTAAGAATCAAGTTGATGGCTGGTTGTACATTTTTGCTCTCTACATACAAATATTGTCGTTAAGAAATCCTTAACTTTACTTGTTTTTGAGATGTCGGTGGTGGACCTTTTTACCCGCGGATATTTAAGCCCCGCTCTATCTTATATATATATATATATATATATATATATAAACTTTTCAATTATGACCCCCCCCTGGCGCCGAAGCTGGATCCGCCACTGCTCAATACTAATACTTTTTAAACAAGTTATAACTCGTTAATACTCTTTTTTTATTTAAATTTACACAATTTTTTTTATTTAATTTTTGTTTCATTTTGCATTTTTATTTAAGTTTATCTTTTTCCTGAGGCATGTAATAGCTTCGGTGCTTCAGAAATTAATGAATTTCACATGACTAGAAACAAAGTTTATACTGAACGGCAAAAGTAGAGAAAACAATAAGACATTCGTGACTTCTTTAAATCTAAATGAAATATGTTTGCCATGCGTGTACATACATTACATAAAATGTAAAAAGAAGTTTGTTTGCATACATCAATGTATCAAACGTGCCGGATTTACTCTATACTTACAACATTATTTAAGTAAACATATTAATTATATTTTTGATATCATAGCTTTTGAGATAAAATTCCATTTAATAATAGCATGACGGATCAAAACCTTTACTTAAAACTATTGCTTTGTGTAAGACA